TTCAAGGCTCAAGACTCAAACAATCTAGTTTTGAAATGAAATGAAATTTTGCATGTGCATTAAAAGTCAATTGTAAAATTAGAATGAAATATTGAACAGATGAACTTTTGGGTGTAAGGTTTGAACACTAATGAGCACTGGTTAAGTACACCAACATGATAGTACAAACATGTGCGTGCAATCAGCTATACATTATGTTACTTTTGAATTTAAAGTACATATATTACTTAGTTTTTACAATTTTAAACCATTACATATGTTACTTTGCCTAGGATATTTGAGTGTCTTGATTACGGTGCACTCTGAATTCACTCTGAGTGTAGGTGAGAGTAGTTAATTAAAAATCACAATCCCACCAAAATACCAAGTTTCGTATTTCTGAGTGTGTTTGAAAATTTATTTGATTCTTGTGCATGAGACTAACACGTGTTTCACCGCTTTGTATATATTATTTTTTCAGAAATTGGTAACCCCTTCACCGCTTTGTATTTTTTTTAATTGGTAATATAGATGGACTATAATAATTTATGGTGACGTTGTCTACCGTGGACCAAAATTTAAATGGTCCATTGATGGACAGTCACACTTAACTATGAGATAGGACCATCCGTATATGAGATAATATGAGATAGGATAGAAAAACAACATTTAGAAACTTAACTGGGAATATCATCTAGAATCCTCTTAAGATTAATATCATCTTGGATATAGATGTCATACAAACTGATAATCCCTCATAAGTTTTATAATTCTTTTTAATGTATTGGCAAGTCTACAATGTTTAAAATCCTAATTTGTATAAGTGAATTTTGAATGGTAATTTTATAAAATTAAAATAATAATTTTAAATTAAATATAATCTAATGTTTAATTTTTATATAAAAGGACTATAGTTCATTTTCTATACATTATAAAGTAATGTTTGAGTTTCTCTTTCTTCCAACACGTACATTCCTACTTTTGTTTTGTACTGAATAAAGATATACAAAGATTATACTCTTTTTAGTCACCAACATGAATCCATGTCTTTAAATAATTAGTGACGAGATTGAAAAAACAACAATATTGTATTTCTATTAAGATTAAGGATATCTCCAATACTATCTATGATGTGAATACTATTTTAGCATGATAAATTACATTTGAAACTACAATTTTCAAAGAGGTGTGTGTGAAAATTGAACCTGAATTTTATTTTTGAAAATTGTAAAACATTAAAAAGAAAACGGAAAGAATGTTTGGTAAAATTTATTTTTTAGTTTGGAATAGTTGAGAAAATATGCTGTCTAAATTTATAGTTATATTTTAAAAACACAAAAGTCTCTACTCGTGATTTGAATATTTAAGTGGATCAATTGGTTAGATAAGAGTGAAAAAAAAAGGAAAGGGTGTTAGATAATTGAAAAAAAAAAGAGAAAAATGAGAAAGAAAAGGAAAGTGGAGATAAAAGTGAAAACAATGAGAAAAAATAAGAGAAAAATGAACAAGATTTTGAGAATATTGAGGGAGAAAATAATAAAAAAGGAGAGAAAGACAGAAGAAAAGAAAATGGTGTTATTAAGCCCCTTCCTTATTCTCAAATCTTCAAAAGAAAAGAGAATAAGAAACAATTTGCACGATTTATTGATATATTAAAAAAGATTGAGAATAATATCTCCTTTAAGACCTTTCTATAAATATCTTCCTATGTTAGATTTATGAAGAAGTTGCTTACAGAAAAAAAAAAAAAAGCATATAGAAGAAGGGACTATAAAAGTCTAAGAGAATTGTATTGCAATTATCCGAAAGTTGCTTTCACCAAGTTCAAATATCTTGGTTGTTTCACTATTCTCTGCGTCATTGGAAGTTTGGCTTTGGGAAAGCATTGATAAACTTGGGAGCTGAGTATAAAATTGATGTCACTCAATGAGAAGGATTGAAGACTTGGAGGTAAAGGCCATAAGAATGACACTATAGTTAGTATATATGTTTATCAAATGCTATTATGATTAGTTAAAGATGTGTTGGTTCACCACAGTTTTTTCGAGTGATGATATCTTAACTTATTCACTTTATTACTTGTACTATTTGGTATGTTTGTCAATTTTGTAATAGATCCAATTATTGTCTTTTAGGAGAATAAGTTTCTTGACCAAATTTTTATATTGGGAGTCTTATGTTCAACCAATTGTCTCTTGAGAGAACAAATCTCTCGACCAAATTTTTATATTGGAAGTTTTATGTTCAACCAATTGCCTGTTAGGAGAATAAGTTTCACGACCAAATGTTTATATTGGGAGTTTGATACTCAACTAATAACTTTTTAAGGAACAAATTTCTAGACCAAATTTTTACATTTCAAATCTGATGCTCAACCAATCACCTATTGGGAGAATGTATTTTTTGTAACCAAATTTTTATATTAGAAGTAGAGCTGTCAAAATGGGTCACAACTAGTGGGTCAATCATAATCATCACCAGTTTGAGTCGGGTTGTGTTTGAAAAAAAAATATTTTTTTTATGCAGGTCAGATTTCAACCCGGCTCATTTAAACCCGACTCATGTGGGATGAATCCGTGGTGGGTCGGGTTAGCCCACCAATCCACATACCTAATTTTATATATTTATTATTTTGTTTTTGCTTGAAAAAATTATTTAAGTTCCTTATTTTCAAAATTAATTAAACACCCATGTTGGGAGTGAAATTTTTTTAGATTTGAATTATAAAAAGTTTGTAATTTTTTTATTTAAAAAAATTGTAATTAAGTGAGCGAGTGAGCCAATCCATTTACTCATCAACTCCCGTGATGGGTAGGACCGGATTCGAATTTTTCTGACTTGCCAATAAATGAGTCGGGTTGGGTTAACTCATTAAGTGACCAACCCGTAGTAGACCGGACCGGGTCGGTTCGCCCGTTTTGATAGCTTTAATTAGAAATCTAATGCTCATCTCCTTTTGGGAGAATAAATTTCTTGACCAAATTTTTATACGCTCAACAAATCACCTATATTGGGAGAATAAGTTTTGTAACCAAATTTTTATATTAAGAGTATGATGCTCAACCAATTGTCTCTTAGAAAAGAATAAATTTCATTATTAAATTATTATATTAGGAGTCTGATGCTTAACCAATCACCTCTTTTGGAGAATAAATTTCTAGATCAAATATTTATATCGGGAGTTTGATGTCTAAACAATTTTCTTTTGGTAAAATATAAGAGGTTGCTCTTAGGTGCCTTAAGAGTTCACCAATTTTAATTGATGAAAAAAGCATTAAAAATACTCTTCCGCTATAGGGAAGAAGGCAATAGTTGTAAACAAAGAAACCCCTGCATAGAACATCTTAAGAAGAACAAGCAGTCTATTTTTCACCACAATATTAACCATAAAATAATATAGACAATATGACCCACAAAATTAAGTGTGTAAAAATTTGGTTTCAATAGTCCTTCAGTACATACAATTGTATATATGTTTTGTTGGGGGATCTCTTCATGATATTTTTCATTTTTCATGCTTTCAAAATATAAAGGAAGACAAATTTTAATCATTTTCAACTATGTTTGGCTGGAAATATATATATATATATATATATATACTTTGGCCAATAAATGAGTCGGGTTGGGTTAACTCATTAAGTGACCAACCCGTAGTAGACCGGACCGGGTCGGTTCGCCCGTTTTGATAGCTTTAATTAGAAATCTAATGCTCATCTCCTTTTGGGAGAATAAATTTCTTGACCAAATTTTTATACGCTCAACAAATCACCTATATTGGGAGAATAAGTTTTGTAACCAAATTTTTATATTAAGAGTATGATGCTCAACCAATTGTCTCTTAGAAAAGAATAAATTTCATTATTAAATTATTATATTAGGAGTCTGATGCTTAACCAATCACCTCTTTTGGAGAATAAATTTCTAGATCAAATATTTATATCGGGAGTTTGATGTCTAAACAATTTTCTTTTGGTAAAATATAAGAGGTTGCTCTTAGGTGCCTTAAGAGTTCACCAATTTTAATTGATGAAAAAAGCATTAAAAATACTCTTCCGCTATAGGGAAGAAGGCAATAGTTGTAAACAAAGAAACCCCTGCATAGAACATCTTAAGAAGAACAAGCAGTCTATTTTTCACCACAATATTAACCATAAAATAATATAGACAATATGACCCACAAAATTAAGTGTGTAAAAATTTGGTTTCAATAGTCCTTCAGTACATACAATTGTATATATGTTTTGTTGGGGGATCTCTTCATGATATTTTTCATTTTTCATGCTTTCAAAATATAAAGGAAGACAAATTTTAATCATTTTCAACTATGTTTGGCTGGAAATATATATATATATATATATATATATATATATATATATATATATATTCGAAATTATTATGAAAAAGGGTGGCATTTTAAAAAAAATGGAGGTACACGGGGAATATGTGCGGTGCAAAAAGTAAAATACCGTAATCTGTGAAAGAGAAATTGGGTCTCTAAAAGGAAGGAACGATATATCACTTAGTTTAATTTTATATACACATTATTAATTTATTTTGTGCTGGATTTGACTTTGTAGTGCTAAGATAACAAGCTGTTTGAACATAATTGGATATTTGGATTTCTAACGTAAGAATATAAACAACAACATAAATTAGACAAGATGACTAGAGTTTTCATATTATTTAAATTAAGCAAATGTTCATTTTATAATAGCTAATCAATTATGTTACATCAAGTGGTGGCTAATATGCATGTTTATAATATACACAATTCATCCCTATGAAAAAATCCATCAAATTGATCCTTTAACGTTAGAAAATGAATAATGATACTTTAACAATAATTTTTTGATAATATTTTAACATCATCTACGTGTCATTCTGTGATTGGTCCATGTTGATATTTATGATTATTATTATTGAATGTGAAGTAATTTTGGACCAATCACGTAGTGTTTCTAATATACCAATATACCAGTTTAAGAGGTAACCTGATACATATGCAAGATTGTTTTATTTAATTTAAGACTGTATAAAACTTTATGGACAGTATTATTCCATTTTCCACTACCACAACCATCATACCTTTCGGGATTCCCTCTATCTCGCAATATACTTCAGAATCTGAACCTCGAAAAGGTGTTGAAAAAATGTACATCATATCATGGCATCATATTTTGGATCTTACTTTCTCAATAAGCTCTCTTCGGAGAATTTTTCCCGAAGCTGTCTTGGGAACAGCATTGATGAATGTCACTCTTCGTAATCTTTTGAAAGGTGCTACCTGCACACAAATACAAATAAGTGTCTACAAAAACGGGTATATGCAGAACTAATACAAACATGTATGTTTTTTTTGTAATATCTTAACTTTATTTTAGAACCCCATTTAGTAAATATCATATAATTTCATGAATGCAAGTCAGACACCAAGCTTGTTTATTTTTCTTACCTGATTAGCAATAAACTTTTGAACATCTTCCTCAGTCAGTGAACTATGTGGTGAGCGAACCACGTAGGCAACTGGAACCTCACCAGCTTCAGCATCAGGATATCTTCAGAATGAAAATGAGTCAATTATGAATTCCAATTACTAAGAACATGAGTTATATTTCTTCTATACACATAATAATTAAATAAAAATCATGCATGTGAAACTTACGGGATGACAACAGCATCAAGTATTTCAGGGTGAGAAACAAGAAGCCCTTCAAGTTCTGCTGGTGCAACCTAGTTTGAATGAGAAATGATAAATAGTTTAGATGGGTGAAAAATCCNTATATATATATATATATAAATTAGTGTAGAAGGTTTTCTTAATCCATTAATGTAAGTTACCAACCATATAAGATAATGATACTTTGACAACATTTTTTTGACAACATTTTAACATTATCTATGTGTCATTCTGTGATCGGTCCATGTTGGTGTTTATGATTATTATTATTGATTGTAGAGTAATTTTGGACCAATCACATAATAACAAGTAGATGATGTTAAAATGTTGTCAAGAAAATATTGTCAAAGTACCATTATCTTAGAACATAATAGCAACTCCACCGTCGCTCAGTCTCACAAATCCATTTTTAAGTGGTTTTACACCAAAACATATTAGCTGGTTGACGATCACACTATCAACGATGTCATTTCCTGATAAGTGGAAATTATCCAATGAGTGTTTCCAAAAAGATTTAAAGTATGAAATATGTTGTAGCTAACCGGAGCAATTGTTAGTGTGACAATCTATCACCATGTCCGCTCTGTGTGATTTTAGAAAAATGTCTCTTTAACAACTTTTTTTTGACAACTTTTTAATAACAACCTATGTGGTAGCGTGTGATTGGTCCGTTTCAAATATACGAATCAATAAAATAGTGACACATCGTCTATTATCAAAAAATTGTTAAAAAAAGTTGTTAAAATAGCGTGGTCCGTAATTTTAATAGTGAACCCAATTGTATAGTTGTCAAACTCAACAATGGAGCAAATGATTTGACACGTGGTTAATATAGTTTCAAGAATATCATAAATCATTTATCACAAGTTAATATAGTTTCAAGAATAAATCTAATTATTAGAAGTTTGTTTTATTTAAAAGTTTACTCTTAAACCTCAAGTTAAATACTTTAGATTTATTTCAAACCTTATTAAATAAATAAAATTAAATAATTTTATAATATTTTCTATAAACAAATAATTAAAATTAACATACAATTCTAATAAATTTTATATATTTTTGTTTTCCTTTTATGTTTTTATTCTTTTTCCTAATTTTCTTTCTTCAAAACTTGCTTTTAACTCCCATAACAAAAACATATCTAGTTTAATAATAAATTATTCTTACAAAATATAAAATATATTTAACCTTTTACGTTTAAATTATGTTTGTCTCACAACTTTTCATTTTCTTTTATACCATAAATTATAAAGAAAAATTAGATATATAATTTAATTTAACCATAAAACTAATTTTTTAAATAATTTGAAAGAAAACAAATATATATATATATATATATATATGGGTTAAATATGTTTTTAGTCCCTAAACTATTGACCGTTTCTGGTTTTCGTCCCTCTTCCAAAGTAAGGTACAATTTAGTCCTCAATCTTTAAAAAACTTTCGTTTTAGTCGAAAAAACGAACGTTTTGAGGACTAAAAACAAAATTTTGAGGACTAAAACGAACGTTTTTCTAAAGAATGAGGACCAAATTGTACCT